CTGCTGAGGGGAACAGTGGGCAAGACAGGAGAGGTCTGCTGTGCCATGTGGGTAACTCTCTGGCCGGGTATGGAACTCATGCTGCAGAGGCTGCGGATTGCTTCAGAGTGCTGTGCTTAACCCCTTGCACCACTAGGGAGGCTCCTGGGACACATACCTTTAGTAGGGTGTAGGGTGAAGTGTTTTCGGGTTCCCTGTTAAGGCCAGATTGGGTCACATCAAACCCAAAATGTGAGTCCCCTGGGGGGTCTCACCTAATTCTGAGTGGTGGGTTCATCAAGGGTCTTTGGGGAAATCTCAGCAGGAACTTGTATTAGCTTTTGATGCTCCGGGGCTGTGTCAGGCTAAGGTCCCTGCAGGCTTCATGGCCTGTCCCAACGGATGTCAAGCAGCCCCTAAGGTCCAGGTGGTACAAGGGCCGTGTCTTGTGAGGGCAACCTCTGATCCCTTGGAGCTGAAAAGACACTCTGGCAGCAAACTCTGTAGTCAGGACCACAGCCTTGTCTCTGCCCTGGCAGCTACCTTCTGCACAGGTCTCTGGGAGAAGCCAGCGTTTGGACGGGTAAAAGGGTGTCCCTGCGAGGGAATCGGCAGAGATCAGATGTCGTGAAGGCCCTTTCATCAACTGGACACTTTTAAACAGATCTCTGTGCAGAGATCACTTGCTAACTATGCTCAAGTCGAAGAGCAAATGGAATTCTAGTGTCTGAGTTGGGGCCAAGTGGGCTCATTAACAAGATGGATACTTAGGGGGCCATCATGGGGACGTGTTTGTATGCCCCCCTCCCCCCATCTTGTTTAAAGAAGTCAGCCAGGAGAGCATCCCTCCAAATTCTGAAACAGGATGAAAAATGGTTTGCCTCTATCCTCAAGAAAAGTGTGCTGAGAATCACATAACGATGTGGAATCCCTTACTAGGACATGGGCAGAACTTCTCTGCTTGCCAGGACTGCAGGAGACTTGAATATTATCAGGAATCAGGACAAACTGTCGCTGGCAGTCAGGACAAACTGCTCACTCAAAGACCTTGAGGTCTGAGAGTCTCTGAAGATCAAAAAATACAACCTCAGGAGAAGCCACAGCTGGAGGGAAGGTTGCCCAAGTGCCCTAAGAAGAGAGACATTAACGAACTTAGGGCATATTAACTCCTACGGGGATTCTGCGTTAGCCCAGAGGGCCTAGAATCTACTGGAATTGGCCTTCCTGGGCCAGGAAACTGACAGAAGCATTTGTTTCAAGTTTTGGCTGATATTCAGGCACTGGCCGGTGGAGTATCTTGATCCCTGGAAGTTCTCCCTCCGGGGTGTTGCTTTAAGTGAAGAATTAAAAAAAAAAAAAAAAAAAAAAAGAAACTAGAAGTAAATCCAACCAGCAATTTTGTAATTACCCTCCACATAACTACCATTTGCTACACTTCTTTGCGGTAGTAATCCGGATACAATCATTTTAAAAGTCAAGTAGGACATAGAGCGATCTTTCTGTTGGTCAATTAAGAGTGTCTTTAAATTTTCAAGTGGGGCTAGAAGAGATATTAGCATTTATTTTGTCATTAGAATTTTTCTTCTTCCTGCCCTTAGAATTGCAAAATTCACAATCAGTGACTCTGGCCCCTGGCTCTAATGCTGCAGTATTTTCTGCTCCTGGGTGAGATCTGGCCAACAAACCGGGCAGCCTGTAAAAGGTGTGCATGTGTCACCATGGAAACTGACCTCTGCTGATCTTGCAGGCCCACCTGGATGTGGGGCCCTTAATTTTTCCCACTGCCTAGTCGTTGCTCTTATGTAGCTCACTGCTAGGGGAAGGGAGGCTGAAAGGCAGCGCGTTTCAGTCTAGAAAAGAGCAAAGATGGGGTTTATCCACACCCTGGAAGGAAACTCTTGCAGCAGAACGGAAGGAGCTCCAGGGCCTGTGCAAAGCGAATTAGTCAGAAGGATAAAGACACACACTGGAGGATTCCACTTACAAGTGTGACGTAAGGAAAGTAAGCAGATACAAATGAAAAATAAACTAATAGACAGTGAAAGCTGAAATGAGGTCACCAGGGGTGAAGCAGGTGGGCACAGGGGAGCAAGGGTGTATCACGGCGGTGGCTGTTTTGTTTAAAAAGTGAGAAAAAAGGAGTCTGTCATCTGAATAGCTGCTAACTGAGACAGACAGGTGGCACCTCCCTTTCAGGCTCGATTTAGGTTCAGTTAAGTCTGTTGAATGAATAAACGTTGAATGTTGTTTAAAGGCAAAGCTGAATTCTCCTAAAGAGTCACAGGAACACCACAGACATTTCTAAGTTATTTCAATTCCCCTTCGGGATAGTCTACATCACGTTCTAGAACAAAGATCTTTAAGGAGCTGTGCCTTTTCAGCGCACAGAACAGATTCACATCAGCCTGCACTGGTTTCCGAACATCTCTGGCTGCGTATGCTCAGTTTCACCTGAGAATGTCTCGTCTGTTTCCCTGGATCAGGCTTACTGAGATCAGCGACCATCCTTCCCAAAGCGTCCGAGTTTTGGACCACACTCGGTTAAAGCAAGTGCCAGAGGTGAGCTCATCAGGTAGCCCCGGCAGAGGGCGGTGAGCTCATCAGGTAGCCCCGGCAGGGGGAGAAAAACCTCTGTGAAATCCACAGAGCCCTGGCTATGCTCCTCCCCTTTCTGGGCATCAGTTTCTTCTGCAGAGAAACGCGAAGAGGAACACGTTTCCCTGCATGCTTCTTGGAAACTTCGAGTGTCACTGTGAGCCTGGCTTGAAACACTCTGTTGTCATCTAAGCATTCCTGTCGCTGGGGTGGCTGGATGAAGGGTCCTGTTAACTATGAGTGTCCCAAGCCTCCGCAATGTGTTAGCACACTCTAGGGAGGCAGCCAGGGATGCCTTGGCACCTTTGTAAGGAGAGAAAGCAGACAGGTTCCTTGGCAAAGGTCAGAAGCCCCCCCCCTTTTAAAAAAGATTTATTTATTTTTATACAAGAATTGGGGTACAGGCCAGAGGCACGGGAGGGTGAGAGGACTCACCAGAGACAGAGCAGGCAGCAGAACAGGCAGACGGACTGAAAGCACTGCTGAGGGGAGCAGTGGGCGAGACAGGAGAGGTCTGCCGCGCTGTGTGGGAATCTTCCTGGCTGGCCGAGAATTGAACCTGTGCTACACAGGCTGCAGACAGCTCCACAGCACAGCACGCAACCCGCTGCACCACCAGGGAGGCCCCAGAAGCCCCTCTTGATGCCTGATCATGGCAAGATCTTTACTTACAAGCATGGTTATTAAATAAACACCTGCAAATGGTGATGCAGTTGGGGGGGGGGAGGCGCCACCCACCATTTACAAGTCTATGTGGAGTGTAATCAGCTGTCTGTCACCAGGAAGATGAGGGAGCAGAGCTATTGAAATAGGGAGCTGGGACCCTCTTCACCCCTGCACAGCTCAGATCTCAAGGGGTCCTTTGCTCTGGGTTCTCCAAGGGAAACAAACCTTCCCAACTGGGAGGGCTCTGCCACTGCTAATATGCTCTGTCCTGGAAGATGGTAGCAAAAACCAGCCAGAGAATGTGGAGTGGCCTGGCGTGTGTGTGTGTGTGTGGGGGGGGGGGCGTCCACCCACAGCCGCTGTCTGCCCTGCTAGCCAGTCCACCTCACTGGCTAACTGGAGCTCATGGCCTTTGCCGGCGGGGCTTGCTTGTCACTGGCTGTGGGTGTGCAACAGCCGGAGGCCTCTTCTCTGTGGCGCACAAAAGTCCTTTTGGAGACACTGCGCTGTTCTTGGGCAGAGGCCGCTTTCCCAGCTCCCCTGCAGCTGCCCTTTCGAGCACAGCCAACCTCTGTTCCAGGGGTCATGGCTCAGGACTCGTCTGAAAACTCACTTGTCTGTAACGCCCCGGGGTCAGCAAGATGCTGCGCTGCGGGCGCGAGGAAGGGGCGCCCACTTGCCAGCACTGAACAGTCATGCTGCGAAGGTGACAGGTCCCCCTGAGGGCACTGGGCACCCCTGTGTAAGCCGAACCGCGATTCCATCCTGCGCTGGGCGGGCTGAGCTGGGGGCGTCGGGCGCTGGGCTCGGTGGCACCAGGGACGCGGGGAGACCTGCTCCTCCCCGGACGCGCGCGCGGGGTCCCCCTCTCCGCGTGCCCAGCCTCGCCACATCCGCTAGATGGCGCGGTTCCCCCGAATCTGCCGCCCGACCCCGCTTTATAAAACAAACCCACTCCAACGCCTTCCGAAACCACACCGCGTAATAACAGCTCAGGCTCCCAGTAAAATCTCAATTTGGGAGAATTGATTCCAACTCCGTGCAAATCTAAAGCAATTATTTTAACAGGCTGCAATCCAGAGGGTGGCATCCGAGCGCCCTCCATCAGCGCCCCCCCAAATGCACCTGTCCCCTGGCCCAGCTGGTTCCCTGGGGCGCGCCACGCGCGATCAGACACGGAGTGGGGGCAGTTCCCGATCCACCTCGAGACGTGGGGGTCGCTCGGGAATCCTACCCCTGAGCAATCGAATGCAAGCCCCGCGCCTTCGTGCGCACCGTCGTGCGGGGCAAAGGACTCCTCGGCCCGAGCCCACACGGTGCGCAGCGCCGACGTGCCCCGGGGTGGCCGCCTCGCGCGGCGGGGCGCGGGGCAGGAGGGGGCCTGGGCGCGGCGGGCCAGGGGGTGCTGGCGCGGGACCGCCCGGGGGCCGACTCCGTCCCAGGCTCAGCAGCCCGGGGACGAGGTGGCCGCGCGCAGGACGGGCGCGCCCGGCTCGCCACCGTGCAAGGGGCGCCCGCAGGGTCGGGCCAGCCACGCGCGCCGCCGGCCGCCGGGGGAGAGCATTTTAGGAAAAAGGAGCAAATATCAAACCACAAAAACTTTACAGCTGCCAAGCGCGCGAGCGATCGAGGGAGCAAAGCTGCCCATCTGGGCAACGCGAGAGCCGGAGGAGACGCGGGTCTGGGGCGCCCCCGAGCAGCGCCGCGTCCGGGCAAGGATCGGGGCGCCTCGGGGATGGCCCCCGCCGGCCCGCGCTTACCTTGGCGGCTGCATGAGCCCCTGCGGCCCGCGGGGGATGGCGCTGGTGGGGCTGCGGCGAAGTGGGGGTGCCGGGCGCCGCTCTTGAGTCGCGGGACGAGGTGGCGGGGCTCGGCGGGCGCGGGTCCGGGCTGCCCAGGCCGGCTCAGCAGCGGCCCGGGGCGCGCCGCCAGCTCCCGGGCTGCATGCCCGCGAGCGCCCGGAGGAGCGGGCCCCGGAGCGAACGGCCGGTGCTTGCCTAGCCCAGAGGCTCGGGCGGCGCAGCCCGCGCTCGGGAGGCAACTGCGGAGTGGAGCGGCGCCGCCAGCCCCCGCCTCGCCTGGCCCCCGCCCGCCGGGGCGCGCGCGGCGTCGCGAGGCTCGTTTGCGCGCGGAGGGGAGGGGGCGGGCCCGGCGCCCCGGGCGCGGGCGGGGGCGGGGGGGGGGGGGGCGAGCACGGGCGGGGCGCACTGGGGGGGCCGGGGGAGGGGGTGGTGCTGCGGGCTGGGGTGGCCCCGCCCCGCCCCGCCCCGCCCCGTCGCGGTCACACCCTCCCGCATCAGCCCCTGCCGCGATTGCGGGGTGCGCGCCCGGGGAAGTCGAGACCTGGTGTCGCGCGCGGCTGCAGGAGAGGGCGAGGTGCACGTGCAGCGACCCCCGAGGCGCCTCCAACTTTCTTAATCTCCGGCTGGGGTGCCACCTCGCTTCCGCCGTGGTCGAGGGGAAGTTTGGAGGTTTCTGGAGTAAAGCGTGACCTCCGGGGACGAGCCATTGCGGTCTGGGGGACGCACCTTTGTTCTACGGAGATGCTTTTTTTTTTTTTTTTTTTTAAATTTAAGAAGCTTCTTCAGGGCCTCCCTGGTGGCGCAGGCGGTTGAGCGCCGCACTGTGAAGGTGCCCGCAGCCTCTGCAGCGCGGGTTCAATCCCGGCCGCCGGCTGGGGAGATACCCACATGGCGCGGCAGACCTCTCCTGTCTCGCCCGCTGCTCCCCTCAGCAGGGCCTTCAGTCCAGCTGCCTGTTCTGCTCCCCACTCTGTCTCTGGTGAATCCTTTCACCCCCCAGCACCTCTGGCCTGTACCCGGTTCTTGTATAAATAGAGAAATCTTAAAAAAAAATTGTTTGTATTAAAGGCGTAATACACAGATGCATTCTCAAGTTCGATTTTGTGTAACTCAGGCACATTCGGACTAAAAGGGAGACCGGACCGTACCCCACCCCCCACCCCCCATCGCAGCCCCCTGCTCTCCGCGGGGATCTGCGTGTTCTCTGCAGAGATTTGCGCCGGTCCTTGCTCTGCGCTTTTGCATGAGCGCGCCCAGGATGCAAGCGCTTTCTCCCCGGCTCTGCAAAAGAATGTTTGGCGCTGCAGTTCCTGCGCGCACCGGCAAGAGCTCAGCCGCTTGGGCAGCTGCAAACCCCCTGCGGCTCCCAAGTCCAGGGAAAGACCCTCGCGGTGAAACAGCAGAGTCACCAACCGCTGGGTGCACATCTAAACCCCAGCTGTGAGTGTGTGTGTGGGGGGCCGGGGATGCGAGAGGGGGTGCAGTCAGCTCGAACACACAGCTCACACCCAAATTAGCCTTGTACGGTTCGAGGGATTTGCCGGTGCTTTTTTAAAAGCCAGGGTTGTGACTTCCTCGTTCTCAGAGGAAACAAACTGCCTTGGATTTGGACATGGGAACTCTTTGGATTTGCAAAATGCAAAGGTATCCTCCACGCTAAAACACGATGGTTATTTAGGCTTGTGGTCTTGAGGGATGTGGTTTTAACTCAATATTCTGAGTTTTCTTGGCCAAGTGTACTGAGATAATCTATAGCTGGGATATAAATAAAATCCATGTGATCGAGCAGGAAGGAATTAGGTATTGGGATTGCTCGTTTCTGTAATTAGCTCTGACCTTGAGCAAGACATTGAGCTCTTCTGGGCTTCAGTTTCTGCATCTACAGAGAGAAGCTGCCCTGCGTGCTGGGGAGTGTGTGAGTGGCAGCCCTAATATTCAGGGAGTGACAGATTTCCTTCCTGTCCCTTTCATAGCTCAGCTATGAACAGTGGCGCTCCTTAGGGACGAGCTCTCCCACCACCCGGAGCGCCTCCTTCCTGACAGTGATCTCACTTTGTAATCATGCATTCCTTGGGGAGACCTAAGGGTGGGCTTCTCCCAGCAGATGAAGTGCCTTGAGGGCAGGAACCAGCACCTCCTGGGGTCACAATCCCAGCTCCAGCTCTTTATACAGTAACAGCCCGGCTACAAGAATTCTCTGGACGGCTATCACCCAGATAACAGATTTCTTACTGAGCTTCCAAATTACTTGGCATTTTCAAAAGATCTATAAGTGGAAACATCTCATTTTAAAATGAAGCCTTTGGAAAGTACCCAGCAGGGTTTTCCCATCTTGGGGGATAAACAGTCCACTGTTTAGATGAGGCCAGACAATTCTTAGCCGAGCCACAGGCTGTGGAGGCGGCCAGCAGCTATTTACCTTGATGAGGAAGGCTCCCATGGAGAAGACAATGAGAATTAATGCTGCTCATTAAGTATTGGATTAAGCTGGACGCATGCTCGGTCTTCCGCAGCACATGTGAGCACGGAGTAAATGAGGCTGTGGGGTGCATTTAAGGTGCAAATTAACAAATGTACATGCTTTCGCCAACCATCTAGAAACATTCCTGATAGAAAGCTCCGGGGAATGCTTGTCTTTCTTTACTGCAAAGGGCCTGAATTCCTAAAAAAATATGAACAGGAAATAGGCTAACCTGGGTTCACGAGTTTAAAAAAAAAAAGGCAGCTGTTAAGAAACAGGGTGTGCAAGTCACACAGCAGGAGACGGGTCTCTGCATTCGCTTCTCTCCTGTCCAGTGCGGAGTTGCCAAGGAAGAGGTTAAGTTCTGACTTCACATTTGTGCAGAAAAACAGCAGCAGAGTTGGGGTTTCCCGCTCTCCACAGCCCCTCTTCTCTCATGCGGAAGGATGAGAGCCCACGAGCAACCGTCCAGGTCCCTAGAGGAAACCTTAGTTGACCCGTCCACTAAGAGCTTTCGTGTGACAAGAAAGGTGCAATGTTGGGGGTCTTCATGGGGCCCAGCAGTGCAAGGAGGGGCGCTTGGGTGGCCACAGGTGCCTCTGGGCAGAGCCATGTTGTGCTGTGGCTGTCAGTTTTGAAAGAGAGCTGGCGCCTGCAGGGGAGAGGCTCGGCACAGAGTGGGGTTCCAGGGAAACTGATCGAGGATTGCTCTTAGATGACCACACCATGAAATAAATTGGCCCCTTCACCCAGGGCTGGCACCTGATGGGGGCTGCCCCTTGGGATTGAGTGCCACCCCATTACATCTGTCTGGGTAAACTGACTCCAAAGAAAAGGATCACTTACAGGAGAAGAGGGAAGGAGTCCTGCTAGCCAGGAGGCAGGGGCTGCCTGTGCCTCCTGGGCTTTGCTGGACGCAGAGGGGAATGGGTGCTGGGGACTGATTGCTTTGCATTGACCAGAAGATGAAGTGCAGGTGGGGCACCTCCCAGAGGTGTTGTCTGCTCTCATCAACCCCACACATGTCCTGTCAAGCAGTTACTGTTGGCTGATGTCGCACTGGATGCAGCCACAGGCTTTGCACTTGAGGAGCACAGTCTGTCCCCCAAGATGCTTGCTGTCCAGTGGAAGAAAGCAAAGCAAGGCAGCCTCTGTGTCTCGGGTGGATGTGGGTGTCCTAGCAGCTCCAGTTTCATTATGATTCATTATTCCCTCCTTCTCCCCCCACTATAATTCTGGTGAAACATGGTGCTTGTGCCTATGCAGCTTTGAGGTTCCCTTCCAACCAGGCTGGGCTCAGAAATCCCCAGAGATATTTTGGAGCTGACACTACAAGACAGAGGGGAGCAAGAGACTGAGGAAAGTGAAATTACAGTGTCATGAGATTTAGAACCCCCGTGGCTTTATCGCTGGTTGGAAGGCCTGGCGAGGTCTTTCCGGAAGAGGTGTCACTTGAGATGCTTCCTGTTAGATGGACCTGATTTGAGTGTGTGGATGGTGGCGAAGGAGGGAGACAACTCCAGGCCAGGGAGTCACATGAATAAGGCACAGAGATGGCAGCAGGTTCAACAGGGAATGACTAAGTCCCGTTGGGACTGGTGTGCAGAGAAGAGGTAAGTGACCGAGCAGGGAGGGTGCGGGCCACACAGTCACCTCATGAGCCACGGGGCGCCACGGATGGTCATTGGTAGTGGACTTTGGAAGTGAAGCTGCACTTTAGGTAGGTTAATGGAGGGTGGTTTGTAGAGACAGGAGATGAGACTAGTGAGAAAATTCTGTTTCCCTTGCACGATGTTACTGGGAGCACGTGCAGGGCGCTGGCAAGCACAGGGCAGATGCAAGGCCAAGTGCTTTGCAGACAAGGGAGATGGAGGAGTAGCAAAGCATTGTGGGTAAGCGTGTGCCTCAGAGACTAAGGCCCCAGGAGACCTGGAAGGGGAGAGGGTGGGTGATGGCCGTCCAAAGGGAACCCCCAAATCATACTGGGGAAATTACCTGGTTTTCCACGGAGATTGTGTAGACATGTGGTTAAGCTAGAAACCCAGTGTCTCTGCTCATCACGAGAAAAGGTTAATTCATTGTTTCTCTTTAGCCTTTTCCCACAGACCAGCCATGCGTTGTGTGATGGAAAGGGCCATAGTCAAGGGTGCTTGGGGTTCCATAAGCAAACTATCAGCCTCAGAATAGAAAGCAGAGCACACAGCTCTGCATTGTTGTTTCGTGAACTCGGACAATAGAGTAAGGTGACGAGAAAGCAGACTTTCTGGAGGCTTTGGCTGCGCTTTGCTGGCTAGTGCAGCCGTGATTATAGCTGGGGGTTTGGGCAGCCACAGCTGCGAGGAACAGCTGGCCCGTGGTCTGCAAGCACGTCCACCCGCCCACAACAGTGCCCACAGAGGCCTGTTGGGGCAGTCGGGAATCCCTGAGGCCAGCTGGCATCTGCTCTCCCTCGCGGTGACTTGGCCGGGAAGGCACTGCTGACTTCTTCATCTCCAGGCGGATCTACTTGCTATCCTTTCCTGAGCGCCAGCCTTGCTAGAGCATTCTATCAATGTGGATACTTCCTCGGTTTTCATAAACCTCCTTGAGGTGGGTGCAAGCAGCCCATTTTGTAAGAACTGAAGTTCAAGGATGAGCATATGGCAGAGTTAGGGCTGGAATCATAGCATCTGAGTCCCAGGGCATTTCCCACCATCCTTTTCCCACCTCCCTGCTAGGTTTGAGCCAGAAACACCTACACCTTTAGGTTGGTCTCCAAATTTGGACCCTTTGGG